TTGAGCAAACTGAAAACATTTGTAACAATACAAACTGTAGAAACACAGGTAAACTATTTACATTATTTACACAATTCTCCATTATGCCTTTACAATCTGTACACATACGACATCCTCTGTCCCGGGACCTCACATCGGTTCAGGGAAAACTCCCCAAAAACCCTTTAACGGGAGAAAAAGGGAAGAAACCTTCAGGAGAGCAACAGAGGAGGATCCTCTCCCCGGAAGGAACATAACAGTTACAACACATTCAATGTCCCACTGCTGCCTGAAGAGGGGGGTGGATGGGGTAGATCCTGAGCCGTCAATGCACTCTAGTATCCCTGGAGGTCTTGTGGGTGAAGGGGTTTGTCTGGGTGGGGTCCATCCATCAGGAAGTTATTGTCCATCGTGCCACAGCTGGAAGCAGTTCTTTTTGGAGTTGAAGCAGAGAGGAACATCACACCTCCTGCAATAAATGGATGTCTTCACTTTCGTCATTCCAGCTTCGTGGCACCTCTTGCAAAGCCTCCTGACCCTTGTTTCCTCACTGTCGTACATCATGGGCATGCAGGTGGTGGAGGGCGAGGGTGGGGGTGTGGTGACTGCTGAGCCTTGAGCAAACTCCAGCATCTCCTTGGCCAACTGCTCCCTGAAGGTCTTGTGGGTGAAGGGCTTTCTCTGGGTGGAGTCCTGCCTCAACTTGAACAGCTCCTTGTGCAAGAGGTAACTGTTCACAACAGCGATGTCCACAAAGTGGTAAAAAAACGTCTTGTACCACTTCATCGTCTTGTGGCGGACGCTGTAAAATCCGATCAGTGCATCGGACAAATCCACCCCCCCCATGCTACGATTGTAGTCCACGATGCTGTCCGGAACTGGTATGGACTTCTTCTGCCACTCCCCAGCCTCCTTCAGCTTCCTCCCCACCGTCTGTCCACTGTAGGCCTGATGCATTGTGGAGCACATCGCTACCTCTCTCGAGTCCATCCACTTGACGAAGAGGAGTTTGCCACTCCGGATCCAACGCATGTCCCCCCTCTCAGCCTTTTTGGGCAGGTCGTTGGTCTGGGTCTGAGGGAAGCCAGTTACATGTCTCCTGATGGTCCCACAACAGCCCATGTACTTTTTGGACAGATCGATAAAGAGAGCAGGGCTCGTGTAGAAATTGTCCGTGTACAACGAGTAGCCCCTACCGAGGAGAGGGAAAGGCAAAAGGTCCATCACTGCTGAGTAACTCAGCCCGTGGCCTGTGTTGGACTCACTTTTACCTGCGTAGACAAAGAAATTCCAGGTATAGCCTATCGATGAATCAGCCAGCACAAACAGTTTGTAACCCCACTTCGTGGGCTTGTCCTTCATGTACTGCTTCATGCTGATACGGGCTTTGCTTTTGACCATCCGCTCATCAATGGACACATTCTGGTGCGGCTGGAAATGGGCTTTGCAGGCGGTCACCATGTCCGTGTAGAGCGGCTTGATCTTGAACAGCCGGTCATACTCGGTAGTGTTCCTTTTTTTGTCGTTCTCCTCGTCCTCTTTTGGGTCGCTGAGGTGAAGGGACCACATAATGGCCTCAAAGCGGTCCCGTGTCATGCTGTCACCGGGGAACTGGAAGCTGTACGGCCATTTCTTCCTCCAGTAGTCAGACCATTGGTGGACCGTCACAAGGCCAGTGTAGACGATGATGGAGAGGAATACGTAAAAGTCCTTCACCGTGAGCACGTCCCAGCTGAACTTCAGCCCAGCTTTCTTTCTTTTGGCAGCGTTGGCATTTGTGTTCGCAATGATATTTCGGACAACAGATGGTGAAAAGAAAAGCTGGAAGAGGCTGATGGGAGACCATGCTCTGCTGGTGTCGAATGTGGGGCCTGGGGTCCTGGCCGGCGTGAACCTGAGAGGGGCAGGTTTGATGCACTCCTCCTCTTTGTCATGCCACCTGTCCTCCTCCTCGCTCTCTGTAGATGCCAACCTACTCTTTCCACGCCTGGTAGCTGGAGCAGAAGCTCCCCGAGAGGAGCGTCCTCTCTTCCGCTGAGTGGTCGGGGGAGGTGTTAACGACTGGGTGTGTCGAGTCGTGGGGGGAGGAGGTGCTGCTGGGCACGGCTGGGGGTGTGAAGGTCCTGGAGCAGATTGTCGAGCTGCTTTTCGACGCGTTGGCTGTGGGGTACTTGAGACACTGGCACGGGGGGGCTCGTAATCCTCATCACTGTAGACCAGAATGTGGAAGAAAAATAAAGATATGAAAATTGTAATTCATGTAAACATAAAAGCAATAAACTTGGTAAAAATAAACACACACTGTGCTGGGGAACACACACACACACACACACACACACACACACGCACACACACGCACACACGCACACACGCACACACACGCACACACAATATAACTAAGCCAGAGTGTTGCCCTGAGAAAGCTGCTATCTCTAGATAGATAGAGAATTCGACACCAATAAATCAATAAATATAACATGTATAAGTCGATCATACCTTTGCGATGATGGGAGACAGTAATCGGAGTCACTGGTGTCCTGCGTGTTCTCGTGATGCACCAGGTCCTCTTCATCTGACGATGAATCAGGAGGACACACGCGGCTCCCTGCGTCCTCCAGCGTGTTCAGGACTTCCTCCGGAGTGACATGTTTCTTTGGTCCTTGTTTCAACATCTTTCTCAAAACAAATTCCAACAAAGTAGTGAAAAAATCAACCGTGAAAGTTACTCACGCGACGCTAAAACAAGCTGATGCTGTGCGTAATGCCAATTTTCTTCTTCTGTGGTGTTTAACGGCAGCTTGCATCCCTTTTGTTGCATTACTGCCATTTTCCGGTTTCGCGGCCCAGCATATCCCAAGATGCATTGCGTGCCGGTGAAGATTTTATTTGATCCAACATGGCGGCGAGTGATGCGGGAACCGGAGAAGTGGCAGGATTCACTTTTAAATGTAAGTATTGGGTTTCAACTCACTCGAATGTCACCGATACTAATGTGAAAGCAAAATAAGAGATATCATAACATCACATGTGTGTTAAAGTGATCCGTTAAGTTACGTTCGTAGTTTACAAGCTAACTGACGTTAGCCGCTGCGCTATTAGCTGCTGCTCGGCTGCCTGCATCCGACCGTAGTTAAGCCTTAAAGTAACTTTTAATAACTTCACTTTCAAACTTCAGAGGTTGAATAATATCTCACTGAGATTGTGATGATTTTACAGATGATTTCTATTTCATACAATGTACATAAACGGACCAACGTGAGCTCAGGTAGACAGGTTGTGAACCTAAAATATTACTTTAAGTCCGGTTACGTTACAAACGTTGAGATGAACTACACGAATACACTGAATTTGAGTATTTTGCTGATTGTGTTCTTGTTTTGTTACAGAGAGCAGGAGCTGAGGGGAGAGCGATGGACAAACATTCAGTAACCACAGCTTTGAATTAAGACATTAGTCCATTTGTAATATCTCCATGTGACCATCCTGTACTGAAGGTTACAGTTACATTAGCTCTCATCCATTATAAAGCCTTTAGTAATAAGACAACCAGTAGTTTTATATACAAATATAAAGTATGTGCATATGTGTTACTGTAAGATAATAAACACGTTTGCTGACATTTGTTTTGCTGCTGTTAATGTTAACTGTCTTAATTAATTTCCTCTGCCTGATATGCAATATATATATGCATATGTAAATATATATACTGCGGTCAAGCCAGCCTCCACTTCGAAACAGTTAAGCCAGCCCGCGCGTTGTTTTGCGGCACGCGTATATGCTAGGCATTACGGTAGTAGCGTGTAAGATCTGACTTCAAAATAAGAGCAAAGTTCCGGTGAACGTGAGAGAACAAGTCACATTAATTCAATACGTCTGTAAATCATAGATAAATGTATTAATACATTGAAAACAATCAAATAGATACATCAATGAAACTAAATTAATGAATAAGTATACATTTTATAAATAACTTCAAACACTAATTACTGCATGCAAACTGTATTTCAGGGAAAAATCTTAATTAAAATTGTAAGTACTTATTCAAATATATTAAAGAATACATTTACACAGAGCAGTATGACTTAAAAATGAGAGTACACTGCATCAAATTCAGAAACTTCAAGGTTACACAAAGTGACTCACTTCACTTGGGATTGATAGAGAACATCAGGACGTTCTTATGTAGAATTTCAGAATAAAAGCCCTTTCAAATCTCATTCATGAGCCAATTTACCTCAAATTTCAGACATTTTAAAAGAAATGGTGCATAGTTACATCATTTCACTCCAGGTTAACAGCAGACCACCTCAAGGTGTCACTCAGAAGCAGAACGTTCTGATGTAGCATTTCAAAGTTAAAGCCCTTCAAAATCTCATTAACAAGCTAACTTCAAATCACATTCATGAGACAATTTATCTCAAAATTCACACCAGTTTATAGTTAAACTGATTTCACTTCAGAGTACTAGCAGACAACACCAGCGTGTCCCTCAGAGAATCTTGACGTTCTAATGTTGAATGTAGAAATGAAAGCCGTCCATCGTGTCATGTTCCATCTAAAGTCTAATATGCACTGGCAGACGGTCTTTTTCCCCACAGACCTTTTGACTTCAGAATGAGATGCAGAGGAGCTGTTAGACTTGTGCTGTCTTAAAGAAAGCAACAGATTTTTCAGTTATTGCCCGATCAGAAACATGGCGTACTGAGGACTAGAGACGTCTTTAAAATACAGTTGAGTTCACCATGTAGGAGAGAACAGATGTGGAGTATCTCTGTTTATTCACGGTGACTATGAAGTCAACATCAGGGACGATCTCTCTCTGAAGTCAGAGGGAGGAGGTGGAATCTGTCTTTAGACTCTCTGGTGGAAAGAATGTTCTGGTTGGTTATTTATCGCCCACCTGACTCTGTCATCAACGTGTTCAATGGAAGTCTGTTCAGTTCTCTTCACCTGATAAACAACGAGGACAAACTTTGTTACATTTTAGGAGATTTCAACACAAACCTTTTAAAAACAATAGACTACATTCTCCTACTGGGGATTCTCTCAATGTTCAGGTTCGCCTAAAAGAAAGAGCACTTTCAGGATGATCATCTCTTTGGATGATGCAGCTGCAGGTCTAAACTTCTCCCAAATCAGAGCACAACATGTGAACAGTCTCTCTGCAGAGTTTGAGGTTTTAGTACAGAGAGGTCAGCCGAGGTCACCAAAATGGGCATTTGGGAACCATCTGTGCCATTTGAGTTTTCTCACGTACCAAACTATACATTTCACTTGTTTATCACTGATGGTGTTCAATACATCCAAATACAGCAGTTTGGCTTTT